ATTATATCATCGAGAGCGAATGATGAATCATTGGCACTCGACTCTTATTTTATCTTATCTGCTGTAACACACTTCCGTTGCATTACGGATTTACAACCTAGTCGCGCCTAAAGAAGTTTTACTTCAATAATATGTGGTGAAAAGATTATATATTGTGATAGACAAACAGCGACATATAGAGATGAATATTGTTGAGAGTGTAATGAGAGACTATAAATGAGTAATTACAGATGAGGTGTGTTAAAAGAGACGAATGAAGTTAACATGGTGATATTTAAAATTACCTTCTTTCCCCACTTAACATCACGTATATTTTTAGTTCTTGGAAAAAACATTAAATTTAAAAAAAAATCTGAAAAAAATGTAATATTTTTTAAATTTAATGGTTAAACTCGTTAATAAATGGCGAACACGATAGCTTTCAATTTTGTTAGTTTTGTTACGTTATGCTAGTTGAAATGCATCTTTGGTATTAGTGCTAATCCTCGAAATTATCTCTAGCAAAATATCCAAATATTGACGTCCAAAAAGAGTTTTTTAGGTCATTTGCACCTACATCATAATCAGATCTGGTGTGTGGGCATGTTTATAAAAAATTCAATTTTATGTCCACGTTTTCGGATCAACCGTTTTGAATGATTCAAAATGCTTATTGAATTCTGCGAATGTGAAAAGCCTAATGGTCTATAATAATTGGAAAATATATTTATATATAAGCAATTTGCCTTAAGATATTAAACCACTGACTTGGATTGAATTCTGAATCAAACAAATTATCAAATAATAAGAGAAGGAACAAGCACCACCTATATGCTTTTCAACAGAGGTGAAACTTTTCAATTTAGAACATCAAATACCTAAACTATTTGTGACTGTTTAAAAAATACTAGATATTAAAAAATTGTGCGATTATCAATATTTATATAAAATTTAAATTTGAATATTCGATTTATCAAAGCATACATTGAATTAAAGGAAAAACAAAAATATCAAGTAGCTATGCTCAGTTTCAAAAACAAATTTTATCTAATCAATATAACAAAACAAAAGAAAAAATTAAAAACCTAAAAAAACACATTTTTTTAATATTATAAAAAAAATTGTAACTATTGTCAAGCTGTATTTGTGGGCAACGTATGTAAGTAAATTAATTTTAATTAAATTTAAATTTAAAACTGATAAGCTGACTTGAAATTTTGGGCCAGTATAGTAGTCAAACGTCAAGTTAGCATATTGTTTCATACAAGATAATAATTGGAATACAATGATTAATAATAACTATTATAATTTCAGGAAGCACATCAATTGAATTTTATATATCGGACGTCTATAGATTTTTATTTTTATAATTTTTGACATACTTGGTAAATTTATTAATTGCAATTATTTTATCAATTATTATAATTACTTATCCACGGTTTATGTTTCAGAGCTATTTATCAAGACCAATGATTAATGATACTAGAAGGAATTAAATAAAAAATGTAAAAATGTAACATTTGTGAAATTGTATGAAAAAAATTGCATAATGTAACATTTAACTGTAAAAATAAGTACAAATATAATCTGGTGATGTAATTATGTAATTTTAATGTTAGAGGTTTAATTTTAATTAATATTATTGAAGGTAAATCAGTAAAAGCTAATTTTATTTCAAATATAAAAACGATTGCCAGAAACAAAAATTTCTAATTTTTCATTGAAATTAAAATAATATATGTATGTATGCTCATACATACTTTTACTTTTTGAATATACCTGCTTCTATATGAAAGCCTATGTTAGTTAGGAAGCTAAAATTAATTTTGAAGTTCAATTTAAAATTCTAAAATTTGACTCGAATAGTCAAAGTTAAGTTTTTTGGTTTGAAACCAAAATTATAGATAATCATTTACTATATTCGAAGATAAAACTAATTTTGGCGTGTTGAGTAATTCTAATAATCTAAGGGACATAGAAAATTCCTTATATACAATGTATATGATAATACAATAATCAAGCATAAATGAACAATCGAGACTACAAGCTTTATTTCAAAATTAATAAAAAATCAAAATCTACTCTTTATTTTATTAAAAAACAAACATAAAACCAATAAATTGGACTAGAATTTAAAAAAAATAATAAATTGGATATTCTCTGATTTCTAAGGCAAAATGGTACTTACATCTAATTATTTTACTTACAATACAAGTTACAACAATAGCTTGATTTTTCATTTTATAATAGAATAAACATCGTTTACGCCATTAAATTTTTTTCGCAGTTATTGAACTTATGAATAATATAAGAGTTACAATTGATACTAAATAGAATATCATTTACTCTAAATGTCTTAAATATCCTAATTACTACTTATTGCAGTTCACTTATTAGATGATGTATAATAAGCCAATCTATTTACATACAATCAGAACATGTTCATAAATATTTATAGACGAAGGTAGATATTTATGTTCACCAATTATTTCATTAATATATTTAAATCAATTTATCCATAAGCGATAATTATCATTAATAATTATACGTCTATATAGTAAATCTATATTTATACAGTAGCTCATGCGTTCAAAGTTCAACCCTGCTCTCTTGGTTAATTACAGGTTGCGCGTTACTATGAAATTGCGTTTGATAATTAAGAGATGAAGCAAATAAATAAGACGGTTCAGGAATATTTTAAAATTCCCTCATGTACAACTTATATTGTATTATGTAACTTTATCGACAGTGACTCAAATTGTGTCAAGAGATAAACATGTTCATGTTTAAATAACGTTAAAGAAAACAACTCTAATTGTATTTTTGTAATTAGCGAATTTATAGAAAAAGTTAATAACAATATTATAGATTATATAAATAATAAATATTATGATAATACTTGTGAATATCTTTGGTGTTTTACCAATTCGAGAATTATTCTCTTGATAAGTCTAGTTAAAGCTCTATAACTCTGCGAAATTTGCTTATATTGACAAAATAGATGATTTTTGATTACCTCAGTTAATATAAATTAGAATTTTGTGGAAATGATTTTTTGTGTAATTTAAGAAACTTTTTTATTATTACATTAAATAAAATTGGATTTCGTAATTAAAGGACTATTTTATATTTTATGCAGTAGGGTAGACTGGGTACGGTTGTGCCAGGATACGATAGTGACAGTCGTTATAACAGCTAAGCTATACTGATTTTGAGATAGGGTTCAAAGGGAGAAAGTTGAAGTACGATTGTTCAAACAAGTTTCCATTATAGCAATGAGTCAGCGCCCTATATTGTCATGATCTGGAAACTGCATTGCTTTTATAGAGTTAAAAGTAAGTTTTTTTGTTGGAATTCACATTCACAAATGTTAATGGTACACAGATAATTTTGTTTATTTTTTGTAAGCTGAATATTAGTAGTTATTTACTAGCAAATAGTTTTTACCTATTGTTAGATAATTTATCTCACTCAGTCATAATGATGATTTGTTTTCAAAAGTACGCGTTAGGGACGTCGTGACAAATTTTAGGGTACGGTTGTGTCATGTATTTTTTATTTTATTTTTATTTTTATTTTTATTTTTATTTTTATTGGCCTCGCTTGCTCGAGCATTTAGCCACCTACAACATATTTTAATTTCATTACAATATTCAATTTCTTATATAAATCCTATTCTTCTTCCTATTTTTATATATCCTATCCTATTCTATGTACTCATCAACATAACATCATTCTTCTTTTTTCTTCTTTTATTATCTGTCATTATATCATATCTTCTATCTTCTCACATCTTCATTACTTCTATTCAATTTAATTTTTATTCTCAAACCTTTTTATATACGTTAAACTATTTTTAATACTATTTCAAACTATTTTTAACATTATTTCAAACTATTTTTTAACTTTTATTTCAAACTATTTTTTAACAGAATTTCTATATTATGCCGGGGATTCGAACTTCGAACCTTCGGCGCGTGAGTCGGAAACGCTACACATGAGCTAATTCCGCCACGTTGTGTCATGTATTTCTTGCATATTTTGGGTAAAGATTAAACAGATAAAAAAATCTAATTTAGCTAACTAAGAAAAAATACCAGAGAGAAAGGAAAAGGAAAATTCAATATAAGAAAAAAAAAAAGATTTTACAAAGAATTCTTATTAACTATGTTTAAAAAATTATGTTTTATTATATATTGTTATATTTTATTCAGAAGATTTGTTTAATTGTTTATGTTGTGTTGTGTTACATTTTATTGTTATTAATGATAATAAAAGATGTATGAACCATTCTGGTGTTTACACATATTATTTTTAACCTATTTTTATGCCTGTCGCACCCGTCCCTGGAGGGGGTATTTTTTTTCTTGTATTATTTGATTTCATAACTAATTCATCAAATTTGAAGACAGTGTTTTAGCATTTCCACGTAAACAAAGGTTCAATTTACTTTTCTTTCAGCTAACTGGTGAATTAACAAAATAATATGATCAAAGAAAAAGTTGCACAACCTTACCCAGAGTACCTACCTCTACAAATTTATCGGTTGATATTTTATTTAATAGTGTTTTCTCTATAGTTTAAAATAGTGTGATCAAATAGAATATAGATATTAGAATGAGTATGGCGATTAAAAAAAAGAATCAAAACGCTTGTTCAAGATAAATTATTTTGGTTTAAAGATAAACAATACCAGGTTCACAATCAAGAAGGATTCTAAGCAAATCACAATTTAGAAGATATCTAAATAATTATTATCAATTAGTTCCTAAAAATAGAATAAAATAGAGAATGAAATATAGATAAATTGAAATGCATTTGTTCAGTATTATTAGTCCAGTATCAGAAGGTAAAGATAATTTAATCGTGCGTATAATGAAATTTATTCCATGAATACTTTACAGATAAACAAATATAAACTAGTTTAATATTGAAAACCTAAAAAATGTAGCTTAATCTTTCGAGCATTTATTTTAAAATAAATGTAGACAAAGTCCTTAATTAAATTTCTTTCTCTTCATCTAAATCAAATGCTTTATTTCTACACTTGTATCATTAAAACCCTTAAGCACATAAAAAAATTCTATATCATCAAATTATATTTTACCCAGACCAATTGGTACTCACTTTGATTAACTTATCTCTGATCTCCCAGCTGAAAATTCCCGGATTTCTCCTCTTCAATTCGTCTATCCTACCCTCGACTTCGGGCGTAGCTACTCGGGGTTTGGAGCCTCCAATGACTCCCGGCCTGATGCTGCCGGTCTCCTGGTAGCGATTTAATATCTTGGAAACGCATCCATGAGATACTCGCAGTTGTCGCGATATTACGCAGGGACGAACTCCGGCAGCTGCCATTTCCACAATTTTCAAACGAATGTGATTAGGAAGAGGGCGACCGTTTATGAAAACACCTCCTAATTGATTCACTCGCCCTTGACCTTTAAAATGAAAATTAAAATAAATTCTTTATCTCTTCAAATCGGGAAGATTGCTGTACATCTTTATATTATTATTTATTTTCAGATAATTTATTCACCATATTAAGTTTCCAAAATAAAATTTGCATTTTCAAGGCAAATATGAAAGCACTAAAACAACAATGCCAATTACCAATGCTAAACAATGTGCCATTAAAATAAAGTTGACGAAGGCTTTTTTAACACTAAACTGCCATGTGATGTGTTCTCACACTATCGTTTTATGACGTTATATTAAATTTGCCTATGACATGATATGAAAAACATCTATTAAATTTTTTATACGTAGCGTAATACTGCCATTGGCAGTTACGCATTGCGCATTAGCTATCGGCGACAAAGACTATATAATAATAAAGGGTAGTACTGCCCTAGAGCTGGTCTGTGAGTTGAAGTGAAGAGATTTCTCATTACCATTTCACACCGCAGTGCCCGAAATGGGCTATAAGAAATATTTTTGATCTGTGAAAATGGACATCGCTACTGCACGATATCAGGTTGTCTAGAGTGGAATTCCAACTTATGACCCGTCCACACAAGTCCCGATATTTATGCGAGAATAGTACGTTTTATGATGTGTTCATAGTTTTGCACAAAATTTATCTATTGATTGATTTGCAATACATCTTATATATATATATATATATATATATATATATATATATATACGCATGTGTATATATATACGTATGTGTATATATATACGTATGTGTATATATATATATATATACGTATGTATATATATATATACGTATGTATATATATATACGTATGTATATATATATATATATATATATATATATATATACAAGCATATATGCTTTGATATCCCTATAAGAATTAGATATGCCTTGAATGTGAGAAATAATTTCAATAAACATGATGAGAAAATGTTTAGGGTCGTCCCTTCTCCTATGCTGATTAAACCAGCAATTATTCTATTATTCGATCTTATCATTCCATTTATGTAAAAGTATATAGATAAAAATTATATTAATGATAAGATTAAAATAAAGATAAGTACCCGGATTGTATTCGAGCATTTAAAGTTAGCATTTATAAATTGTATTAATTGATTTACAAAATTGACAGACAAAAAATATATGTTTAATGAAAAAGTATCCTTAAAATCAAAACTATGATTAATGATTCTTATATAAAAATTGAAGTATTTTATTGGGAGCATGAAAAACTGCTTAAACATAATAGAAGATTATTACTCCCTCGTTATTTTTCTGAAATAGTTCTGAAATAAATCTAATCGTTTGCATGTAATTTTTATATTTTAGGCTTTCACCTTAATTTTGTATGTTTAAGGCGTTAAATTTTCATTTAATAGATTAAATTTTAGTTATAATATTAATATAATCTCTTGTTAAAATATATTTATAAATTTGAACTAACGGATACAGTATTTGATTTCAGAGCTTTTCGTATTATGAGGCACCAAACCATATTCTTTATTATTCCAAAAATTGATCTAAAAGTTAAAATTTTTTCAAGATATTTGAAAAAAAAATGCATATGAGATAAAAAAAAGTTCAGAAAGCAAGTTTTCCAAGTTAATTCCAAAACGTATTTTATTTATATCAATCCAATAATATAAAATATCAGTGCAGATTTAGTTTGCTACGAATAATTTGCAATTGCATTTTTTAAAATGCCTCGGAGTTACATTAAAAGTATGTACCAGTAAGTATTCAGTATTTAATTTTGAATAAGTTTTATTGATGTTAAATTGTTAGACTTGAAAATTACACAAATATATAATCCGATTAAAGTTAATTTACTATAAATAATAAAGCCGGTTAATATAGGTTAACGGTTTGTTTAGCATATATGAGCATAAAAAGAGATATATGAAGAAACATTCAAATGCAATACATAAAAAAATTGATAGGATTGTAATAAGATATTATTTCTAACATTTTATTTACTCTTCTGAATTATTCTTCACAATTTTGTCTTATGAGGCTGCTAAAGTTTTGATTGGCAAAAATGATAGAATTTAGAATTAAAATAGTTATAGAATTAGAATATTTTTGTATTATTTTATGAAGAATCGAGGTATAATTTAGTGTTACCTGTTAAGGTAAAATGCAAAATGATTTATTTTATACCGTCATTGCCTAAAAATCTTCTAAATATCATAAAATATGAGAATATGTTTTGTTTCTTTTAAATCTGCAATTAAAATAGCTTTTATATAATTTATTTGCTTGACAAGAATACTCGTCAATATGTAAAATTATGCCACTTCTCATTGAGAAGTATAGCAGAGACTAGGTACAGTTTTCCCAGGGTACGGTAGTGACAGTCGTCATAGCAGCTAAACTATACTGACTTTGAGATAGGGTTCAAAGGGAGGTAGATGAAGTATGTTTTTTCGAACAAGTTTCCATCATTGCATCGAGTCAGCGATTAACACGATTTGTATACCGCAATGGTTTTGAACGGTCAAATTTTTTTTTTTGATCGATTTCTTCTAAAAATAACTGATGCTTGTATACAAATAGATAACTTCGTTTATTAGTTTACTTTCAAACATTAGTGTCAATTACCAGAACTTATTTTCGTTTTGTGTGACATGTATATGTTGTGACATGTCTCCCTTGTCCTTTTCGGGCAAAGATTAATCAGATAAAGAAAAATCTAACTTAACTAATACAAAATACAAAAGAAAAAAGAAAGGAAAATTCAATACAAGAAAACATAATTTTACAAAGTTTTGTTATATATTCTTATATTGTTATATTCTTATAGGTATTGTTTTTTAATCTATTTTTATGCCTGTCACAACCGTCCTGAGAGTGCAAACTGTTGTGCCACTCGTCCTTTTCTTATATGATTTGATTTTATGACTAATTCATCGTATTCAAGGACAGTATATCAGTATTTCTACTAGCGAAAGCGGGAAACTTTTCTATAAATTACCCTAAAATAGTTTTGTCTAAGGTGATATTAACCCCATAGCAAAGAGAGATTACCCCCATACGAACTACTAAGTAGCAAATTCAGAAAATATCAATTAAAAATACATAGTTTTTACCCCCAAAAATTTAATTTTTACATTATTTGGGGTAATTTACCCCGGTTACCCGACCGGAGACGTAGACAAATGATCAAATTACCATTTGATTCATTTTTTCTCTAGCTAAATGGTAAAAAAATAAAATTATTGCTGATCAAATAAAAAATGGCAAAACCGTATCCAGTCTTCCCTACTCGTCAATCACAGTTGACTGGTATAATAACTTCAATATTGAGTCGAAATATATATTCCAAATTATTTATTACATTACAAATAAATATACTGTATTTTTGCTAATTGTGTGATAATTTTACCAGCACAATAAGACGGAACATATTATATTATTTGAAAATATTCAACCAAGAAAGTTTCGAGAATTATATTTTCTTTATTTTATAAGTTAAAAATGATTTGATAAGAATAAAAATTACAATTAGGGTCTAGTCATATTAAACTAGTACTATATGTATCAGAAAATTTTAATTAAACAGAACACAATGTACAGTCTCAATACTCGTATATCATCGGTCCCGTGCTACTGTCAGAAGTAATATTTTGCTAACAATACCGACAGCTCAAAGAGCGAGCATTTAGATTATTTCAAATCTGCTTCAAATATATTTTCTACTCATAGTTCATTAATGCACCATGTCGGGTTTTGAAACTATGTGTGAATGCAAACGGGCGCAGTCTTTAGTTCTCGCGGCAGATGCGGACGGCGAACGCACACTCTGCCCGATTTTAATTTGTCATGGTATAAAGTCTATTATCGTGTGCGATTTTCGCCCTGCCCAGCGATTTGCCGTTTTGGACCTCCTCGGTAGTAAGATCAATAATCGATCAAAAATTCGGATTGCCGGGGTGCGAAAATAGATACTTTCCATCAGCTTTTCAATATTTCGACTCTAGGACTGGTACACGAACTGATCTTGTTCCCATAGAAACTGAATATTTTGTATATAATATTTTATAATATTTGCTATAAAAATTTATTTACCAATAAGGGCATGTCTATCTTCTGGGCATCTTTTCCATCTTTATTTTAAATAATTATTATAATTTTTAATTTACTATTTTGAATTCAATAGAGTTTCTGCATAACTCGATATGACAAAAATATTTTAATGTTGCTAGTTTAAGAAAAATTAGTTTTACTCACAACTGTGAACATCTATAGCTCGAGGTATTTTTATTTATAAATTTACACTTTATAAATTTTGATAGAGAAAATAATATACATACAAGAGCAAGCCTATCTTCTGGGGCACATACAGCCTATTGTTAGGATTTAGAACGTTTTATTTTAAATAATTATTATTATTTTTAATTTATTATTTTAGATTCAATAGTTTTTCTGCATAACTTGCAATCACAAAAATATTTTAATATTGCTTGGTTAAAAAAAATTAGTTTTACTCACAACTGTGAACATCTATACCTCGAGGTATTTTCATTTATAAATTTACACTTTATAAATTTTGATAAAAAATCAATTTACAAACAAGGGCAAGTCTATCCTTTGGGCTCATTCAGCATATTGTTGGTATTCAGAAGGCTTCATTTTAAATATTTATTATAATTTTTAATTTACCACTACAATTTCAATAGTTTTTCTGCATAATTCGTAAACACAAAAATATTTTAATGTTGGTAGGTTAAAACAAAATAGTTTTACTCACAACAGTGAAGAATTATAGCTTGAGGTATTTTTATTTATTAATTTACACTTTATATATTTTGATCAAAAAAATAATTTTCCAACAAGAGCAAGCCTATCTTCTAATTTTAAATAATTATTATAAATTTTAATTTACTATTTTAGATTCAATAGTTTTTCTTTATAACTCGTAATCACAAAAATATTTGAATGTTGCTATGTTAAGAAAAATTAGTTGTCCTATGTACTGTCAGTAGAGTCTAATTTGCATTTATACATTTTTAAGCAAGTATAATTTGATTTTAGTGATTGTTTGATTAAAAAGTTTTTGGTTTTAAAGTTTTTGGAGATCAGGATGTCCTCGAAACGTAGAAAATATGTAAAAACAAGAAATTAAATAAAAAAATTTTAGAAAAAAGAGCGATTTAGTTCAGAAGTATATAATCATAACATAACATCATATTATAACAGTAAATAAAACAAGCATTATTAACATTAATAACTATAATTAACAAAATCTATAAATTATTAAAGCAATATTTCATTCAATAATTAATAACATGTAAAGAATAATTTCGAAAAGGCTTTATATTTGGGCAAAAATAGTTGGTTTGGGCAAACATCATTTTATTTAATGCCGTCTATATTCTTAACGTAGTTATGAAATATTTCATTAGCTTGTAGAATTTCATACCATTTTTTTTTTGAAAAAATGTGATAATATATGATATAGAACTGTTATGTTAAGTTAATGACTTGGGCATTTACAAAATTTAAATTTCTAGTCGATATATAAAAAAATAACTAAATCAATATATTAAATAATTTTTGAAAATATTAAAATGAATGGAATTAATCTAAGAATGTATTTTTTTGAATACTTATAAATGTAAAAACATTTTATTATTGAAAATATTTTGTTTATATATTAATCATTATTTTTTTATATTTCCTCTCATTTATTTGTTTACTTAATTCTAAATTAGAGCAATCAAAAGGTGTTTAAAAATACAAATTTACATTTAAACAAGACTATATTCAATTCATTAGCATTTATTATTAACAATATATGAAATATTAATAATACTATTTTATTTTACAATAGATTGTTGGTATTGACGTATTTTTGTGATGTGACGTTTTTCAATACATAAATGTTTCAATACATAAATGAATAGAAAATTTGTTGAATATATCGTAAGTTTTCTGTTAAAATAATATTAATACTCTAAATGCATGTGACGTAAATGCGATTTTATTTATATAATAAATAATTTATAAGAATTCTAATTTGCGTAATTTTAGATAACTGACTTATATAATAGTATAATTGATTATTAACTTTAGTATTTAAACTATCTTAGTAATAAACTAATTAAATATTATACAAAGTATAAAATGCTGCAATTAAATTATTATATTTCTAATGTTTTGGTTTGGATGGTTCTGAACTAAATAGTTTCATGCCATGTACTAAAATAACATCTATGTCACAGCAAAATGAAGCCAATTGTTTTCTCGAAATTCTTTCAATATTAGTTGGTGGCAATAAATATCGTACTAAAATTCAATGCTATTATTATATCAATCTGATAAATTCTGCTGATCAATGATTTATTTTATTATTTGTGGAAGAGATCTAGTTTTATTGCCAATGTATATTGTCTCTATACGCCTCGTTAGCAAATCATATTGAACACAAATGGCAATAATAATCTGGTTTCAATCGAAAATTTTATTGAAGAGAGATTTCTGAATTTTTTTTTATTTGAGCCATGCATTTATATTATTTATGTTTATTTTGAAATATGTTTTTATGTGTGTTTGTATGAGATAAAAATAAAAGAAAAAAATTAGTTTGTCATTTTTGTTCAATACGAACTCGTAGGATACAATAAGAATACTATTTATCATAAGCAGCAACATCCAGCATATTAAGAATCTCTTAAAAAACGTTTACCAGAATTTATCTCTGGACATCTCATTAGACTTGTTAGACTAATTAGTCTGAATTTCATAAAAAATGCCAATAATTCTTATCAAATCCCTTGCTAATGTTATTAAAGTATAATTTTCATCTTTATGTCTCATACTTTGGAAATGTAAATTCTATACACTGATATGTTCAAGTATTTTCAATATAAATTTGACCAACCATATATTTCATAAAATATACTATACAATTTGGAAAAATGTGGTATAATAATATGCATGAAAGATTTTCCTAATTTCTTACACGGTTAAGTACAATTAAATTAGCATAAATAAAGTATTAGTATAACCTCATTAAGCAAAGTCTTAAATTTTTATTCTATGTATGTATGTCTTTTCAAATGAACATTCAGTGCTCGTCAATGTATGTTCGAATATCTCGAATGCACATACTTACATCCACTTCAATTTACCGACGGAAGAAGCAATACGTACATGAATGGATACATTCGCAAGATTAGATATATATCACCTGTATTATAAATAATATCAAGATGATATGCAAACGTATCTAATTATGTTAATAATTAGAGAAGTGGGATGTTTGGCGTATAAACACGCCATGCTTAACTATATCCTGATCGATCCTTAGCGGCAAATTATACTTGGCTCGTCTGATATTGATTCAGAGCGAATAAATCTTTCGTTTATTTTTTACGTTTCGTGTAATCATTCATTTTTGTAATTATTGTTGTGTGATTTTTTTAAGGAAAACATTGAACTTTTCCTTCTTTTTACCACATTTATATCATAAATTCTATATTTTAAATATTTTTTATAGCTTTTAACAACAGATATGATGCACAAGACACCTACGGGTAAAATATTTAAATGGAAAAGTTGACAAAATGTTGAGTATATAAATATATAAACTTAACATTTTGTGGACTCTTAACATGAAATATATATTTTCGAAATAAAAAAAAATGTTTGGGAAATAGTTCATGATGTGGAAATATGCAATTATTAAGTATGATGTATTAAAATGAAATATTCAAATAAATATATTTGTTAATAATATTTTGGGATACCTATGAGTGTGAACAAATTATAAATTAATGTATAAAATATCTTTATCAATGGTTGTCAAAGTGAATTTAGATTAAATGTCAATTGATTTTAGAACGCAAACTCTTATTTTAAAATACTATTAAGACTTAATCCAAATATAACACTATGGGATATTTTAATAGTTAAACATATTGCTGGAAAATTAAGATTTTCAACCGAATTAAAAAGTGTGTTTATTGCTATTGTTATTTGAATTTAAATTTAAAAATATTTCATAATTTAATTTAATATAGCAAAAAAGGAGTCGTAATATGTAATAAAGGTAATTATATTGATAAAATCTAATGAAAATACTATTGAGACTTAATCCAAATATAACGCTATGGGATATGTTAAGAGTTACTTGTAACATATTACTGCAAAATTAAGATTTTCAACTAAATCAAAATGTGCATTTTTTGGTTTTGTTATTTGAATTTAAATTTAAAAATATTTCATAATTTAATTTAATATAGCAAAAAAGGAATTGTAATATGTACTAAAAGTAATTATATTGATAAAATCTAACTATAAAATCAGCTGTCATCGTATTATTTGGTCATAAGCAGAGATCCAGTATAATATCTCACCTTGAAAAGGATATCCGTGAAATATGGGAACATTAATTGATCCGGTATTTGTCATATCCATTTCGAAAACGTAATGTATTAATATATTGTACGAAGGCACTAAATAATTTACAAGAAGGCGCACTGCTCCAACATGGACACTCGTTAACACGCGACGAAGGCGACACAGGGCGGCACGGCGCGCTCCGCGTTTCCGTGCACACTACCGACGATTATTTGAACTTGAACATATTTTCAAACGCGCATCCTGGCCGCGGCGTAACGCAACAGTCAGTCGGACGGTCAGTCCGTCGCACGGCGCGCTCGCGCTCGGGTTATGTAATCCGCGGACGGCTTCGAGTCGACTTTTTCACTGGCTCGATTTATTAACGATAACGCAGTTTATACGAAACACAGAGCGCGAATCAATCCGTGATGAGGCCCCGGAGCCGGTGAACGCGCCGGACGGATATAGCGGCACATGTGTACATATAAATACAGATAATTTTTCTCGAATCAAAAGCGCCTTGTGATTCTGTTTTTAAAAAGGGGAAGGACATCGGCGAAGCGCGAGTCCCCACCACGAGGTGGGCACGACTCGCGAGCTATTGGTCGGCGCGGAACACACGTGCTCGACGAGCTAGGGTACGCGATCAGAGTGCGCTCGAATCGCTTGGATATATTTAACCGACTCTACCTTTGTGTGAGTTGATTTTTAATATTAGATACATTACATGAGCCGACCGGCTGCTATTTAGCTTATCCTTTACATACTTAATACTGACGAGAGTTGTGTTAGTGCAAAACTATGAGCAATGCTTGTTGGTATGCACGACTGAAGTAATCCGCGATAGTCGGCTATATAATAGTGAGTGCCATAAGCCACTATTTTATATTGTGTGATCCTTTGTTTTTAAACAATGATAATAATTATGACAAATCCCGTTTATTTTGCGACTATTATATTTGTTCAATATGTTGTTCTTCTTAGCCATGGAGGTGCCGATTCTGCCGTAGAACAGACCTATGTTATGGAAAAACTATGTTACGTAGCAATTTTCATTCAAAATAGTACTGAATATTGTCTAAATGCCATGTATTTGCTATGCGATCAGGCGTTTTACACTCTTACATGTTATTATGCCACATCACAAAGATGCAGTTATGATAACATAGTTTTTTTTTACATTTGTGCGCTTTCTAGGTTTAGGTTTTTCTAAAACGCTTTACTGATGGTTATTGACAGTATTTAGTATCATTTTGTATGAAAGTTGCAACATAACATGGCCTTGCCATAACATTGGTCCATTTTACGTCAGAAATCGGCCCCTAAATGTTGCCGTCACATGAGTTTATCTATTACATATCTGTTAAAGATATTGTCTACAGTTGATCGCTACAAATTGAGACATGTTCCAATTGTTGAATCATTCACAAATAAATGACCAAGCGGCGGCGTAATCAGTTCGGACGGCCTAGCACATATTAGGTTTGCTGGTTCAATTCCTGACACGGCCAAGTCCGACATCAGGTTCCACTTGAGGTTATAGATTTTAAATATAACGTCAAGTGAGACTGCATATAAAATCCTAAAATGTCTATAAAACTTCGAGTATCATTTATTAATCACAACTGGATTGGACAACTACTGGGTTGCTATCCATTCAAAAGCCATATGATCTTTTCGAGGCTGCATATTTAATCATAAAATGTTTATAAATACTTCGAGTATAGTTAATTAATCACAACTGGATTGGACAACTACTGGGATGCTATCAAAACTATTCAAAACAATTATTGAATATTCTAGTGTGACAGATTTTGATTGAAAGTATAACACAAAAAGTCACAGATTAATATTTTTTGTACTTTTGTATGATATAGGATTGAAAACAAGATTCTGAACATAGATATGTTTGGAAATTATATCAAATTGAATGGTTCATGAATAGAAGGAATTACCCAAAATTGTATTACCATTGCGCACAATTCTTCAAGCCGTTTACTTTTCTACATAGTTCTGACCAGAAGTCATAAAATAATTGCCATTACTTTATTGATGAACAAATTTGATCGATTTTATTTCTCACGATTTCAAGACAGTCATTCGGTTCTCACGCGGAAACTCTCAAGTTTTTTGTCATGAGACAGAACTTTCTTCCGTGATGACCGTAAAACAAGCTACTTGTTTTGTTTATTTGGAATTGAAGCTCAATTTCGTGCAGCAAAAAAAATCTAAAGCATACCGCCGAGATATTAATGCAGACAAACTATGCGGAAAACATGAAAATCATCGGTTACTAATCAAGATACTTGAGTTTGCAATCATAAGATTCTTTTCTCTATTTACGGAGTACATAGTTTTCGTGAAATGGACTGATTGAAACAACAAATATATATTATTAACAAAAGAAAAGAATTAATTGAGAGAAGAATATATGATTATTTGGATCAAGGTGATTTAGGAAAAGATTACATGCCAGTACATTTACAGTAATCTGCATAAAAATTAAATTTTATAAAATTTTAGTTGAAAATACTAATCAACGTTATTTTTTGCAGTAATTTGCATTAAACTGGTATATGTTTTCATCAATGTCCATGTTGATTAAATATATGACAAGCATTGTATAGTATGCATGCAAATGTAAAACTATACATGCTAAACTCGTCGCTTGTGTATCACTCACTATTATTATCATTAAATTACAATTGGATATAAGATTTAGTTTAAAATTGAATTATTATCATATATCATTTATAATATAGAAATTTTATTGAACATGCTCAAAATAGTCTGTAATTCATCAAGGGCTGCTTCTCTGTCTCGTATACGCGGCCTTGTATAGATCATGTAAAATTTGCAATTACTTTTTCGCAATAAATCTCTACACACGACATGACTGTAATGAACGCAATTTAAAATTTGAGTTAAAGTCAAAAGTCGTAATAAAACTGCATAAGAAAGGGATAGAAATTTCATATAATCAACGCGAGAATTAATATATAGGCATTGGAGACACTGGTTTAATAGAACGACTCATTATTTTTTGAGTGGCTGTAGTCATTTATTGCCTAAAGGAAAATTCATATTTTGGACATAAATTTATAGTTCAAACTGGTATGAAGTCAAAATCTATTTTCAATGTGTTTATCACTTGAAATGATTATATTTTGCTTATTTGTACACTAATTTTCATTAACCTTCAATCCGCTTTTTTTTCAAATTCATTAGGTAGCATATATTTGGTAGTTCAGAAAGTAAATCCTTTCAACCATGTAAACCTTCACTTGTCAAGAAAACAGTCAACAAACGGTTAAAGTGCATTTGAGTGAGTCTTTATCCGATCTCACAGATTAGCAACAACTAATGTACTTATCACTTTCCACATGTTTTCCCGAATATGGTTCAACTAATTGAAAGACTGATAGTTTTGACAACAAATACTCTCGTTACCCATAGGTTAATTAGCTAATTTTTTTTTTTTAATTTTATAGTTTTGAAAATAATATTAAATACTTTGTCAAGTAATAAAATTGCTTTCGATACAAATATATCTTATATTTATCTCAAATAACACGTACACTTACTTTTGAAAGTTATATCAATAATCTATTTGAAGCAATTTATTGAAAATTTTTGGTTATATAGGGTAGATCGGGTCTTAAAGATATCTCAAAAACAAGTAAAGTTAAGAGTTTTTTGTATACCCAGCCATCACCTTGATTCTTAAGGCATTGCTATTGGGAGATAAACGGCTAGTTTGAAAATCCATAACAAAAGCATTTTCTTTCGTTGTTAGTTTTATAGATTGTAAGCACTGTTGTTTATTTTGAGAGACCTTAATATAATTTTTAAGCATTAATAACGTATATTTAATTTTTTTATAAGATATGTTGTTAATTTTAAGTTAGATTCAACAGTTTTTTTTAATGTAACCTCTATGAATACGTGAGTGAGAGGGTGAGGTAAAACACACCAACTGAGTTTATACCCAAAGGTTTGAATAAACAGGAGAATTAAGTTAAGAAAACAATTTTACAAAAGATAAATTAAATAAATAGTTATTCTGGCTGACTTTTTATTGGTGCAGCTATTCCAGGCAAGGGCTATTTTTACTTGTAAACCTATTGCTATCTATATTTTAAGTGAAAACAATAGTCACTACTGCCTGACAACAGGCTGCTCGAAGTGGGTTCCAAACTCGGGACCTCTGAAACAAGTAAAAGGGACCTGGTGATAAGTTTTTGAAAAACTGAAAACAAGCAAATTCCTACAATGATGATGTAGCTAGCGGTTTTGCTGAACATAGTCAGATAGTTTCTTTGTTTGATATGTGTTATTTGTTGTGATATAATTGGTTTGGTTTTCACAATATAATTTCAAGTCAAAATTTGCTCAAAAAGTCAAATTGAACCTTTGTGCCCCGCCCAACCAAATATATATATATATATATATATATATATATATATTTATATATATATATATATTTATATAAGTATGTGTGTGTATGTTTTTATATCAGTTGCATGTGACAAACATCCCCGCGGTAGTACCGCGATAATTAGCGTGAAAAACAGCTGCCTCTCATAGCAAATATTTTCCACAGTTTTTGTGTGCTCTTACCTGGGTTAGAGGGCAGGAATACTACAACAGCAGACATACTGGTATATGTATATATATATATATATATATATATATATATATATATATATATATATATATGCATGTGCAATATGGATTCCATCGATGCCATAATTATAAGTGTGGAAATAAAGACAATAATTTTTATATTGTAATAAGTATAAATTATTTTCTATTTATATATTTTATTTTTATATCACAGGTGTAAAACAATTTGGAAATGATCAGCAATGCACATGACTCAAGCAAACCATTATATTACTTTCAGATTATTTACTAGCTGCTTCCTGAAATATGAGAGTTTCGAATTATGTTAATATATGTTTCCAATTGAAAATAGCCTTTTGGATACTGCTGTTCTACGATGCAAGTAATATGGTAAATTTTAATGTAGAACGTCGGATAAAATGGGATATAAAATAAAAATAATAAATAAGATTGATATATAAATGCTCTAGTGAGGCTAAAATGGCATTGTAGTAGGTTCATGAATTCACATAAATTTATGTGAATTCATACTTCATATTTGGCTTTGAGGCCAAACCAATTGTTGATCCATATATTCACGTACATATTTTATAATAAAAACGTAGTGATTATTATTTCTAATAATAAATATATATTTATTAACTTCCCGAAGGAGAAGTTTATGTTTTCATCAAAAAATCCGATTCGCTAATTTTATGTTTTCTCGACGTTTCAAGCCATTCTGAATCGAATGAGACCAAATTTGGAAAAAGTATGTGTGTGTGTGTGTGTGTGTGTGTGACAGATTTTTTGCCGTAAATCGCCGTTTTCTCAAAAACGGCTGGACCGATTTCAAAAATTTAAAAGCCATTCGATGTATCTCGATGAGGACTATTGTTTGTCAATTTTGTGCGACGATCGACCAAACCGTTTCTTCGTAAATAGCAGAGAAGTGAAAAGTCTTTCGTCCACGTTTTAGCCCGCAGTTATGAATCGATTTTGAAAATTCAAAAATTGTTCGAAAGATATTGGTTGGGAATCGTGCTGATTAGTTTTTTGGTAGAGATCGGCCGGGCCGTTTTCTTGTAATAAAGTTTAAAAAAAAAAAATTCGACGATTTTTATGATTATTTTTTTGACGGTAGATACCATAGTTTTCTATATCATACTAAAATATTACGGCCCTACGACAACTGGTTCAGCTTTAAAAATTCGTTAAAGTTTGCAAAAATTGGTATTGTTTTTTTGACATTTGTCAAAGTTAGACCTTTGATCGATCAATTGTAATAAATCTGCTTACGTAATACTTGAACGATCCCTTTTTGTGAGAATTGAACACAATGTATTATAATTAGTTTTAAAATTATAGACATTAAAACAATAAGATTAGTGAGAAAATTTGTTAATAGGCTGTGGAATTGTGAAATGTTGTTTAGCCTCGTATATTTCGAGTGCGCCCTCTGTCCCTTTGCAAGCCTCGCGTACTCGCGTTTATTAAGTTTATGTGGTAAGATTCAGCTGTTCGGCGTACGAAAAAAATAAATAAAAAATTGTTTTGGAGGAAACGCCATTCGGATGACACCCGGAACGATATTTTTTGAATTTCGGAGTTCTTTTATCTGTTCGGATCGGCGTGAAATAATGCTGTTTTGTATCTGCAAGCGCGTCTTATCGACGGCGACTCGTGCCATGTGGACG